GGTATTGGCAGGTTTACTTTTTCTTGGTTTTTTGTTTGTTTTTTTTACCTTGAAATAAAGCGGATGTATGTTCATTCTTCAATTAAATTTTGTGTAAAAGGATTCTGGAATGCACCTGTATGTCTCTGTCACTGTGGGTTCTTTTTTAAAATACTGGTCTAGCTTTTTGTTAATTTGGCAGTAAATTTAACTTTAAGAACAGTTGCTTTTTATTTATTCTTTGGTGACAGGTGTAGTGGTTCTTGAAACTAAAATGTAAATTGCACTAACAATTAACAGAACAAGGCCCAGGTGTAATTTGATGCATATGATGCTGGCATTATCAAGACATGATACTGTTGGACCTTCCTCCTAATAGTTGTATCCAATTTGATTCCTCATTTCTCAAATTAATTTCTTACAACAGCTGAGAACATCACTCCTCCTTTCACTATTAGCATAGTAATTGTTTCATCAACTCAGGTGAATAAAATAATGTGTTTTAAGAGTGGCTTTTGAAAAAGGGAGCTCTAATTGAGAGCAGTATCAGTCTCCACAGAATAGTTCAGATTGTGCCCAATCTGATGTTTTAGTCTATAGAAGCAAGCTAGTTATCACACCTGGTTTGATTACTGAACATTCACAAAGTAAAATTATACTGTACAATATTCCACTCAGGCTTAGAGTAACCAATTCCGTAAGCATATTCAGCATCTAACAGCTATTTTCCTATCACTTATTTAATTCCAAGATACCACTTTTCTTATGTCTCAACTGCTTACATAAAACATGTATGTTACTCTGTGCAAAAGAGCCAGAAAGGTTGTTTGAGATATGTTATTCATTAACCAATATCATTTTGCAGTGCACTGTGTTACTGGTCAAGATGTGAGCACAACAGTGAAATGCATTTCCACTTCCAACTCAAAACACTAGAATGGAAAAATCTATACTTAGAGTAGGCTGGATTGATTTTATGCAGTTATCAAAATGTTTATTGAGATATATAAAATTAAATAATTTCTATACACAATATACAAACAACTACAGTTTCACAAAGTATTTTTCTCATCAAAAAGCTTAGAAGTTTTCATTAGATTTTACTCCATTACTTCATTAAAATCCTGATGCCTTGTTCCCACCACTAGTACTTTGCAATTTAATTTTGAACAAGTCATTCAAGTAACTATCACAGTATTTTACAAGGGAGTTTTGTTTCCCTCCCCCAAGTAAGATTTTAATGAGCTCAAAATATCTTCAGTTTGAAGATTGAGATTCTGCCCCATCTTCACTCCTCTCTAAGTCCAGCAGCACATTTTCCACAAAGATTTATTTGCAGGATGGCTTTTCTTGCCTTTACTTTGGTTATTTTACCTCCTCTCTTTCCAAGTAGCACACACAGAAGTTATCCTTACTCAAGAGTGCCATTGAGTCCCCACCAGAGTGCCAGCAAAGAGAGAGGACCTGGAAATCACCTGCACACACAGAAGAGAAGCAACTGAGCAAGGAATTCAGGCACGCTAAAAAATCTTCAGGAATTTGAGCAGGATGAAATAGGATCCTATTTCAAAACTGAACATGTGGATTAAGACCTGGCCCCTGGTATCTAACAAAGACCAATCAATTCCAAATCTTCTCAATCTGCTAATATAAGGTACTTCCTATACTAATTTGCTAATACTTTCATGGAAGTAAATTTGAAGTAGTTACCTTTTTTACCTTTTTAAAATGACCCATACAAAGACTAAGGTTTCTTAAAACAATTAGCAACATAGCATATCACTGAGTGCAAACATTCTCAAAGACCTTGTAACTACGCATTTGGGAACTTTAACTGCTTTTTAGTGTAGTAGCCATATTTTCTGTAGCTACTTTAAGTATCAATTAATTTGAGGTATCTAAAAATGCATTAGATGCTTAGGTGTCCTAATTTCAGCATCTGAAATACTGGAAAGCTACAGCTTCTATAGTCAGCCAGCCAATATAAAAAGCAAGGCCTTTCAGTTCAGTTTAGGTATATCAGTAACTTAGCCATCATAGGCTACATCACCTTATATTTAAGCTCTTCTTGTTATCTGGTTGTCCAGTTTCATTTACAGTGTATTATTTAAGGAAAGGCAATATGTACCTTTTCAGAAGTTCCAGACGCTTTTAATCCATCACTTCAGTAACTATGTTTTGACCAAAACACCACATTAACAAACAAGTTTTGGGTGGCTGTTTTGGTTTCTTTTACATGTAGTTGCAGCATAATTTCAAGCTGCCTTACCTTCCATTGGTACCTGCACTGACACGCATCCTGCTGGAGACCACAGGTATACTTTACTATTTCCAGTGCATATGGCAAGTCGAGGTTGGCGTGGGTCCCACTGAAATGAGTGAACAGTGCACAACTGCTCCAAGACTACGAACAGCTTAAGCTTCTGAATGTCCCAGATCCAGATGGCATTAGGAATATTATCTATCAAAATGGAAACAGTGCCAATACCGTAAGAAAAAAATGCAATATGCAGTGTCATTTCAATACCTGACATTACACGTTTTCATTGAAATTCCTGATCTGTATTACCATTTACACCACTGGCAGCATGGTGCACAGTGCATAAAAGTGTGTATTACTAACATGACAGATAAACAACCTTACAACCTGCCTTACTGATCAGCCCTTAAGTAATGATAAAAAGATGCCAAAACTGTAGATTGAAAGCCCTCTGCGTACATCATTTATAGCACAGGTATACCAAGAGTGCAAGCTTACTCTCCAAATAGGCCTTAATCTGCCATTAAGGGAAACTGCAACTATGACAAAAGAGTAGTTCAGTTTATATTCTTGTCCTTAATTGTCTTTTCTAAAACTACTTATAATGATGCTATTATTGGTGATTTCTGTCACATGAACATTTCTCAGCTAGTAACTGGATTAAAAGCTTCTCCCTCAGTTGATTCCATAAGAATTTTTCTCCATCAGTTGAGGTAAACTTTAATGAGTCTAGGAGACCCCGAACTCCTCTTAGGGCCACAAATTTATATAGTCATATATAGGAACTTCAGCATTGCCAATGGAAAGAGCTATATGTTCAGTCCACCATCTCTGTATTTAAATAAGTAAATAATAAACAAGCCAGTGTTTTTAAAACTGCAGAATAGCTATATGCAAGGAGATATTCATTACAAACGAAGCCAGGGAAGATTGGTGTTTTACCCACTGTCTGCTACATTTATGTATATGGTACAATAATTTAAATATGAAGGTGTATAACTAGTTATCACCTGGTGCATAAGGCCAAGTGTCTGAGTTCATGTATCACCAAGGCAGCAGTTAATAGCTGATCCCTCGGGTCTATCATTTTATGATGTGAAAACTCATGGGCTGAAGTCCTTTTATGTTTGTACAGTGTTAATTAAACACAATGCAGCCTCAGTCCTGACTCCAGCCTTGAGGTGCTACCATAATACAAATAGTTAATAATTGTGATATTTACTTCTGAGATTATCTTCAGAGGGTAGATGGCAAGACCTAGATAAAACCAAAGAGATTTACCCTCTAAAATATAGCCCTCTGGGAACTAACCATTTTTAGTTGCTAGGAAGCAGTTATCAGGACTAAATGCCAGTGTTCCAATTCCAATTCTTGGATTTGCCCGATCAGCAACTGGTTTGATGTACTGTAAAGACATGGGCACCTGGGAAATGTTATCTAGAATTTGAAATAAGATCACTTTAACAAACAATTTCATGCAGACAAGGCACTGATACTTAAATCATACCAGCTAAGCATTCTAATCTCAAGTAAGAGAATAAATAATATTTTGCATTTTATATCATTCCATAACAAGATCTCAAAATGTCTCCAAATGTTAGATCACTGTATTGCTCTCTGTAGAAGAAAAAACTGAAGATACAAACAAGGCTGGGACAAAACTAGAAAAAGAACCAAAAATCACCCAACTTCCAATCCCACAGTTTAACTCAGGGGTGTCAAACATACAATTTGTGGGCTGCATCCAGCCCACAGAGTCACTCTATCTGGCCCACTGAGCTACCAGTAGTTGGGCATGGCCTGCCACCGGGGGGTCTTTGACTTTATTGGCCACAGCCAAGCTCACCACCACTGCCCCCAGATCCCTTCCCCAGACCCACCATTGCCAGCAGACCCCCTCCTGTAACTGGCAGACCCCCCCACCTCTGGACTCGCTATCATCACCACATCCCTCACTGCTGCTGAACCTCCCACTGCTGCCTCTGTGCCCTGTGTTGGATCTGGCCTGAAACAAAACCTGCAGCCCCAGGTGAGTTTGATACTCCTGAGTTAACTAATATTCCATATGATAAAACTTCATTACTTCTTTGCCTTGCGTGACTGTTAACTAGGTAATAACTATAAAGTGCGCTGTGCACTTAGTACTTATCAGGGTGGATAAAAATCAACAATCAGATTATTTCATTTAAATCAGATTTGATTTAATTGTATTTTTTAAGATGCTTTAAAAATAAAATTATATAAAGATAGTTTTAATTTAAGGTATGTTAAAGCTCACAGTTAGAACTTCTAATTATATACTATTTGAGACAATAGATTCATGTAACCTTTTTAGAAATTTTATAAATAGGTCATAACAGGCCATGGCATATATTAGGGGCCCAATCTTATAGGGTTTCCAGAGGCTCCTCTATAGATTAGTAAAAATTAAAGAAAGCAACTCTACCCAATGGGACTCAGCACTCAGTCTAGAAGATCCCATTAAGCATCTCGATGATGCTTAGTTTCAGTTCTGAAACAGGATTTGTCTCTCCAGAGATCGTATAGGCAGACAAGGTTCTTTAGGTAATGTGATATCTTTTATTAGACCAACTAAATAGTTGGAAAAATTGTTCTTTGCAAGCTTTCAGGCACAAATACCTTTCTTCAGGCACAGGGAGAGTTTGTCGTCTCCAGAAAACATCCTTGTTAACAGAAGTATATGGAGATATAAGAGATAACAAATCTAAGTGAGATTACCCACCCACCACCCGTCAGCCCTATTGTTTCTCTGCAAGTTTGTGAACACACAGTCAAGCCTTTACCTTTCTCTAAAAGTGTGAAGTTTCAAGAAGTTAAATGAATAAAAGGATATCAAAACAACAAGAACGCACTTTTTTGTAGAAAACAATGATTACATCAAGGCTTCCTGGCCAGTGATTTAAATTAATTTACTTTAATCAAGTTAAATCCACCCTGGTATTTATGTTATCTGTTGTGTTCTATAGCATTGATTTAAAAAAAAGAAAAAAGATTTTACAGTCACCAGTACCATAACATGCAACTTTTGCTTACATTTACTCGGTATACTGAAGAGAGAGCTGGCCAGTGGTCTGGTTGGAGGGAAAGAGAGTTTCTGTGTTTCTACAGCTGCAGATTTCTCCACTTCCTTATAAACAATCTGAATAGAAACAAAAGACAGTTCCACAAAACAAGATTTGAAGCAGAGGTATTAAAGAGTTATTAACATTTCACTCAAATCCAAGACTAAAGAACATTCATTTTAATTCACACATTGTTTCTAAATACATCTAGTTATTTCACAGCTGAAGCAGCCAGATTTGAGAAAGCAAATTCTCAATTTCAGGACTTCAGATTCCCCTATTTGAAAACCAGGTCCACAATCAGAAAAAGTTAATCTGTGCCACAGAAAACCACAATCTATATAAAATGAGACAAAGAGAGCACATATTTCCCATATGTTTATCAACAGAAGACAAAATTGGCTAGTATAGCCCAGAAACCACTAGCGGGCAGGACTTTGGTTTTGATAAGACATGTGACTATTTAGTTTCATGGCACTGAAAACTAATGCAAATAAGCCATATTGAGGTGATAGCAGAACAGCATGCATATATATGTTGTGACTATAACTAGGAGTTTCTAAATGTCAACACCAGTACGAAATTGTATCAGCAAGTGGCTCCAGTCTTTCCAGTGCAAACAGACAGGGCTATTCTAACTTGTTTCTGGTTCTGATTTTCAAATTTTGACTTTTATCCTCAAAAGTGAAGCTTAAAGATAAACTGATGTTTGCACCTCACAACTCTTATAACCAGGGATCATGGTTTTCTCTGTTTAAAAGATCCGATATTTACAATTTTAAAACAATTTGGAAGCCTACCAGTGTCCCAATCATTATAACAAAATAAATCCTAAATAACTATCTATCTGGCATTTGATTTTGGGTTTTTTTTAATCATAGATCAGAGCTCCTGCTGCCCCCTTCAGTCACCAGGATGCAGGTCCAGCTGCAGCTGTCCCTCCCACTGCTTTGTGGTGCTGAGCAGCCCTGATATGTTGGTGCCCCTCACTCCCAGCCCACAGCCCTCCATCCCCACCAGTGCTCCTCGTTCCTGACCCACAACACCTCACCCACCTGTGCGTGTGGGGTGGGGCCAGGGAGCGTGCCTGACCATAGGTGACGCAGAGAGTGATTTCGGACCCAGAGAGTTATAGTCTATGGAACACAGTTAACACGGCGCATAGGGACCAGCGGCACCCCCCAGGATTCAGTACTCAGACCAGTACTCTTTAATATATTCAAAAAGGATCTGGATTCAGGTGTCAGAAGCAAACCGGCTAAATTCACAGACTACACCAAATTGTGGTGAAGTGCAGTCACCTTAGAGCAGCGATTCCCAACCTTGGGTTGACATAAGTCACCAGTGTGATGCCTCAGCTGGCAAAGCAAATAAAACTCTGGCTTGCATCTACCAATGTATCTCAAGCAAGACCCAAGAAGTCATCCTCCCGCTTTACTTGGCCTTGGTGAGGCTGCAGCTGGAGTACTGCATCCAATTCTGGGCTCCACACTTTAGAAACGACGTGGAGAAGCTTGGGAGAGTCCAGAGGAGAGCCACGTGCATGATTAAAAGTCAAGAGAACAGGCCTTATGAAGAGACGCTGAGAGGAATGGGACTCTTCGGCCTGGAGAAGCGGAGACTCAGGGGTGACTTGGTGGCAGCGTATAATGGGGTGTGCATCAGGAACTGGGAGAGCGTTTGTTCACCAGCGCACCCCAAGAGAAGACAAGGTCTAATGATCACAAACTGGTGGAAGACCATCTTAGACTGGACATAAGGAAAAACTTCTTTACCAGACTACCCCCAGAAGTGGTGATGCTATTTTGGATACCTTTAAGAAACGCTTGGATGTTTATCTTGCTGGGGTGATCTGACCCCAACTGACTTCCTTCCCCTTGGGCAGGGGGCTGGACCCAATGATTTCGCAAGTCCCTTTGAGGCCTAATGTCTATAAAGACACCATAGGTGACATATCAGAGACCTGGGGGGGGCGACACATTTGTCCCCCCCGTTCCAGATTTGTGTGCCCACAGCAGGGCATGGGGCTACAGCCTGACCAGACCGACACAGGCAGGAGCTGCCTTCACAGTCCAGCAGGCAGGACCCAGAGCAGGAAGGCAGAGCAGGGCAGCAAGACTCATTGCTGCTGCCATTACTACTGCCAGGACCTCCAGGTCAGCTGTGCCACCAGCAGCACGAGGAGTAATAGATTGGAGGGGTGGGCCGTGCTGCCCTTATCTCCTGCTGCCAGCCGCTTGCATGCTGGGCTACAGCTCTACCCTGCCTCCATGGCCCTGCTGCCACTGTTCCCCTCAGGCCAACCACACTGCCCCCCAACCCCACCTTCCCTCCGGGGTACAGCCATGGAGTAGCCTGAGGGGAGCAGTGGCAGCTGGGGCATGGCACAAGGTACAGCTGCAGCCCCGTGTGCACGCAGCTGGCAGTGAGAGGAGGTGAGGGCAGCACAACCTCCCCTCTTCCCCCCACACCAGTTCATTACTCCTTATGCTGCTGGCAGCATGGATAGCATAGGAGTCCTGGAGATGGCAGCAACAATGAGTCTCACTGCCCTGTGCCAGGTCCGTGCCTGTGATTGCTCTTCTCCCACTCCCCACCAGCCCCAAGCAGCCCCTTGCAGGCTAGAACTCTCCCAACCTACAAGGGGAAACCCATGGTTTCCTATGTTTTTCTCTTTCAAAGGATAAAATCTGCATTTTTCCATAGCAAACAGAAAACCCAGACCCCTGCTTATAACTTATTTTGAAAAGATGACACAGAAAGAGAAGGAAAAAAGACCCCACCCCCCAAAAAAACACAATGAAGTTATATACCAAGAAACTAAAACAATTTCCTAACAAAGTAAATTTAAACCAAACATTCTGTAGTTCATGTCTTTTGGTAAGCAGCAACAGTACTTTTATGCTGACTTAAAAAAAATCATACATCATGAATACTAATCCTTACATAACATACTAATAAATAAGATTTGCTTAAGTTCCTTCTATCAACTGTATAATACAATTACAACCATTGGAGTCCTCTTTTACTTCATCTGAGAGAAACTATCATGTTTGGGGTTAAAATGTTCTCTGCTTCCTGACAACTATGAAGCACTCTATGGTCTCACACACTTATTAGACTCAAGGATAAAAATAAACTGAAAGAAAATGCTCATTGAGCTTAACGTGCTTGTAAAGATGAAGACTGATCAGATTACAATTTCAACTGAACCCCTACCTAAATGCCTATTCATAACGTAAATCTGTTTCATAGAGAGTACACTTTCATGTTCACAACACCACATGTATACTCAGTCTAACAGTCACCATTCCTAGCAGAAGACATTAGCATGTGTCAGTAGTCTCCAGGAATCAATCACACCATATACCTAGACAGAATAAAAGACTGTGGGCGCATTCAATCAGATTAATCATTTTTAGCTGACATAAATTATCCGTACTTCAGCATTTTGATTGAGTTCCTCTACCAACATTTGTAGGCCAGGAGGAAATCAGGACTTCAAATTAAAATACTTTTACTACTTTCTCTCACCAACAGATAAAGGATCCAAATAGGTCCTGATTCTGTACTTACAGTCTTTGGATTAGCAATGATTGGAGGATGCTCAAACTCTGTGATCTTCTTCCAGGTCACATGGTTCAATATGCGTACCTGATTCAAAGACAGTGTTGTAAGATGAGATTGCTAGGATGACAATTTTTAGTCTTGACTTCAAATTTTTATTTTGTTTTACCTTTTCATCATAGCTGCCAATCGCCAAAAACTGACTGCTGGGGCTCCAGGCAATTGATTTAATACCCAGCGACCATTCATATGCACGATACGTGGATAGCAGTCGGCCATCAAGGGAGTACAGCAAAATTTTATACTGGAACACAAATTCATTAGCTCTAAAGATTAGCGATATTGTTTAAGAAAATGAACAAGCAAACAAACTTACTGATACAAACTAAATAGCCTTTTGTCAGGTTATCCTCACCTAAAAACCACATATGTTAAAGGGAGAGTTGTCTTTTTCTCTACAAACTTATCTACACAGGCAAGTTCTTACAAAGCAAACTAGGGTGTAATTTTATAGAACACAAATTACTCCATACTAACTCTGCAGGATCA